GGCCGGGGGTGCAAATCAGGATTGAGGGGCATCAGCAGAGCGGTGGGTGGAGGAAGCTCGCACAGCCCCTGCCATGCACTCAAACCAGCCTATTACTTCCTTATTTTAACATCAGCCAAATTCCTCAGCCCCTCCAATCTGTACTGTACTGTACACAAACTGCACTTCCTCCTGCTGCTGAGTGGCCCGGCTGCCCAGCGCCCACCTCCTTCAGACAGGGGAGTCTCCATGGAGATGCCTCCAGACTCTCTGGACACCTGCAGGCTCGGTAGGCAGGGGATGGAGAGACTTGGCTGACTCGGCCTTGGCTAAATCAGGGATTGGTCCCACTGTCTGTTTTGCTGACTCATCAGGCTGCACAAGGCAATGAACAAAGGGAGACTGGTCTGAAATCCACGGGCATTTGCTAAGGCACAGAGCGGGCCCAGCCTCGCCCGTTACCCTGCCCTGCTGGGATGTAGGGGACAGGGAGTCCCGTCCCTGCGGTTATTCAGTGCTTAGCTCCGTTAGCTGCGAAGCTGAGTCAAGTCTGAGCTGCAGGGGGGGGGGGGTGATGGCCGCATTGGAACATAATCCCATCGTAACACCAGAGCAGAAGAGGCCAGGGTGCGAGGAGGGGAGAACCACTGGGTAAGTTGCAGGAGTTGGCACTCCACTAACATCTCCCGTCTGTGGAGTTTTGGGGGATCCCCCAAACCTTAGCTGCAGACCCAGGCAGCGAGCAAAGGGCTTTCACCACAACTCCTTGGTGCGCATCCACATTCCCCACCGATGGGCGTGCAACAGAGAGCGGCCTCAGAGATCCCAGGGCATGTGGCACCTATGGAGAAGCAGGGATGGGAGCCACCGCGTCGGAGGCTGGGAGTGGCACTAGACATCGATCAGCGATGGAAGAAAAGCCAGGGAGCCCAGCCCCAAACCTTGCACCAACGTTTTCCACAGTCTGCGGTACAGCTGGCGATTTGCACACTTGTCTCCTGCACTTGGCTCACGTTCATAGCGCACTTAACTTGTGATCTCAGTCATAGAATCATAGAAGATCAGGGTTGGAAGGGATCTCAGGAGATCATCTAGTCCAACCCCCTGCTCAAAGCAGGACCAATCCCCAACTAAATCATCAGCCCACACGCAGTGCGCTCGGCCAATGCTCGTATGCAGGCGGCGTGCTTGGCCCGTTCTCTCACACGGCGTCTGTTGTGCTCAATGCACAGGTTTGGCTCACTATGCGTTGATCTTGTGCCCAGTCCGGCCGGTGCACACGCCTTGCTCCAGCGGGAGGCTCTCGGCGCTAACACGTACCTTGTTCCCTTGACTCGTGCCTGCGTTCTCTGCTTGGGCCCTTGGCCACTGGCTCAGATTTCCCGCACATCCAGCATGTCTGTGTGTTCTGCCCCTGGCCCCTGATGGTGATTTCAGTGCACTCGGCTCTTGTGATGGACTCTTGCACCCTCGTGGTTTTCAAGTGCTCAGCTCCTGCACCGTGCTGTGTGTGTTGGCGTGTCCCACTTGCTCACTGACATCTGTATACTCTGCTTGTGCACATGGCTCACAGTTTCCGTGCAGTGAGCACGTGCCCCCTTGGCTTGTGCTGTGGGTCCCCAGTGCAGGCACGTTGGACTCTATGCGCTCAGACTGTGCCCATAGAGTGTGTACTCTCCGAGTGCTTGGCTAGTGTACATCTGTCTCCTGCTCTCTGTGCACACTCTTGGGTGTGTTCTAGCCTGGGCTGGTGTTTCCGGCGCTCTCAGCTCCCGTGCATCTGGCTTGTGACGGCTGCATGCTTGGCCTGTGCTTGCTGCATAGAAATGCAGGGCTGGAAGGGTTCTCAAGAGTTCATCTAGTCCATTCCCCTGTATCTTAGACCATCCCTGACAGGTGTTTTTCTAACCTGTTAGCAAAAACTTCCAATGAGGGGAATTCCACAACCGCTCGAGGTAACCCGTCCCTGAGCTTAGCCACCCTTAGATAGGTTTCCCCAATATCTAACCTGAATCTCTCTTGCTGTAAACTCAGACAATTCCTTCCATCTACCCTCGGTGGACAGGGAGAACAATTGATCACCATCCTCTTTATAACATTATTTACCCATCCGAAGACTTCTCAGGTCCCTGCTCAGTCGTCTCTTCTCTAGATTAAACATGCCCAATTCTTTCAATCTTTCCTCGCAGATCAGATTTTCTAAACCTCTGATCGTTTTTGTCTCCCCACTTTGGCCTCTCGCCACATGTCCACATCTTTCTCAGGGCGTGGTACCCACAGCTGGACACAGTTCTCCAGCTGAGGCCTGACCAGTCTGTGCAATCCCTGCCTCTTGCTCACAGTCAGGTCCTGGTTTCTGCTCATGATCCTCTGCTCCTGCTTTCGGGGCTGCTGTGTTTTCTGGGCTCGCCCCAGGGGCTGTGCTCCCGGTACTGGTGCAAGAGCATAGCAAGCGTTCTCCGCCTGCTCCCCTTGGGCTGCCTGGGTGCTCAGCCCATGAGCTCACAGCAGCTTGTGCACGGATGGCTCCTTGTAGGCAGGTCTACCTTACCCCACTCTGAGCCCCAGCGTCTCCGTGCACACAGCGCCACAGGGAATAAAGGTGCATGGAGCTGGGCCACGCCGCTGCTTGCAGGAAGCTGTTGCTAGTGAGCTGCCAGCTAAACATTAAGCAAAGCAGATGGGCTGGAGCTCTGCCCTCCTTCCCTCCTGCCCTGACTCATCTCGGGTGGAGCTCAGCTGGCAGCTCTCCTCCTCCCGAGTGCCCTCACGGTGATCCAGCGTGAGACTCTGGTTACGCAAGATGGGAAGGCGAAGCCACAGGTGCTGTCCAGGAGCCGGATTGCAGGAGACCGGAGGGGTGGAGCCTTCCCCTCTGACTCCTCACCCCGAGCGCCCACTCAGACAGGGGGCTGGCGTTCACAGGGGCGGGAGCGATGGTTGAGTTATTTATTTCGGTTCATGCCCAAATGTCCTTCAGCTCCCTGAGGTGGAGATAGGGACCACCCCCACAACACACCTCCCCGCCCCTCCCACGGGGGCAGGGAGGGTCCCGCAGCCCTGATGGGTCTCAGCTCAGATAGTGACACCCTGCTGTGCAGAGACCTGACAATGGGCACCCGGCTGGGAGCAGCCGCTCACGTCCCAGGCCTCCAGGCAGCCGCAGAAGGGACCCTCGCTGAGCTATCCCCTGCATGACACACGCAGAAGGGACCTCCCTGTCTCTCAGCCCTGTCCCTGGCTCCTTGCTCTCTGCAATCCAGCTGGCTGCTTTGACCCCTCATTCCCATCACTGGCCTCTCTGCCGTTATCACTTGGCCGCTGATTCCATGGACTCAGTGGTGAGCTAACCCTGCCCGCGCTCCCTTCCTCCTCCCACTGGCCACCCCTCACCAGGGCACAGCCTCTTCCTGCTCCGCTAGCTCAGTCTCATCACCTCCAAGTGAGAATCCCCTGCCGCCCCCCAGCCCAGATCCCTGAAGAAGCTGCTGTCTCTGCATTAGCTCATCTGGGCCACAGAGCCAGGGAGGGGAAAAAGCTTACTCAAGCCGGGCACGGCTGCCAGCTCCGAGGGTAAGCAGCGTGACAAGGCAGCTCCCCCGGAGCTGTGCTGCAATAGGCCCAGAACTCTGGCCTAGGGGCCAACTAGCCCAGCCCTCCCGGCTACAGGCCACGCTGGCTAACGGAGCCCCCCGATCCAGCAGGAGCTGAGCCTGCAGCCATTGTTTGGAGCAAGGGGGGCCCAGGCCTTCGTGGGATTGGGCCCAGCATTTCACTGCTAAAGCCCATGCCCCAATCCCAGCTAGCCAGTGGCAGGAGCTTGGAGGGAACCTGGGGGCGGGGAGATGTGCCTGGCCACTCATGGGGAGAGCTCAGGGTGTCGTGTTAATTATGAGGGGCGTGGTTCTGGGTGACCCAAGAAACTCCACCCCCACCCCTATGTTAGCAGCTGGTCCAAGAAAGATCCCATTGGAGCAGAAATTATGGCCCCACCCCACCCCTCCCGTACAGCCCAGCGCTGCCACATGTAGCCAGCACGGCTCCCTCCTGCCGGATGTGAAGGGGTTGGAAGGGGAGATGGGTCGGAGCCAGGGGCCCAGTTTCAGCCCAAGCTGCTGCTGTGTAGGGCCTGGGGAAGGCAGCCCCATGGGGCGCGATGCAGGCAGGTCAGGCCATGCATCTCCAGGAGGGGGCCCTGGTGCCTAGCACTCAGGGATAGGTGTGGTCGGCCCCAGGTCTCTGATCCATGAGGAGTCTCCTTCCTTCAGCACCAGGACAGTGTGCTGGGTTGGCACAGGGAAAGCCCTGTGCATCTCAGGATGGGAGGCAGGAGCTGGGGGCCTTGGGGAATCAGCCCTGCCCGCTGGCTGGTTTTGAGCAGCGGGATGGCACGTTACCGTGTCTAGCTAGGGGACCTCCCCCGCCTCCTGGAGGGGTTGGGGGGCTCTCTGAAGGCTCCCAACTTTCTGACTGACTCACTGCATTACCTGGGACAAGTCCCTGCCCCGCTCTATGCCTCAGTTTCCTCACCTGTAAAAGGGGGTAATAATGATATGGAGCCAGACATTGCGGAATGCTTTGAGACTCTTCCCTGAGAGGCACAGCTTGGTCTTTGCTCGGTGGTGTGGGGAAGGTGATGCAGAGAGCTACCATGGTCAGAGGTGGATTCCACCCAGGACCTTCTGCACCAAACCGTGGGCAGCCCCTAGGGGGAGCGGTGACCACGGACTCTGCAACAAAGCACTTTAATCTCCCACTGCCCTTGTGCTTTTAAGTAGTTGAGCCTTTTCCCGCTGCTTGTGCTGCCCCCTGCAGGGGCAGCGGGGCTAGTGAGAGCTGTTAGCTGGGCTCCCCAATGAAATCCCCACATTGGCTGAGCCCCTATTCCAGTGGGGCAGAGCATAACTCATGCTGGGAGCCAGAGCGGGGGGAAGGGGGCTTCAAATGGACATAAACACATGGGGGTCCTCCTATTGCCATAACCCCCTAGGGCAGCTGTGCTCATCCCTGGTGCTCTTTACTGAGCAGCTGGAGTCAAACTAGCTTCCCTGTGTCTCTCTCCTTCTCCACCTGGCCTGACGCCACCCTCTAGTGGCTGCAGCCCCCATTGCAGGCTGACATGGGTAGTTCCCAGTGCCCTGCTTTGGAGGAATTTGAAGCATATCCTTGCCCTGCTCACTTCTCTTCTCCAAACCAGATGGGGATTTGCTGGTGTCCTTAAGGAATCACGAGGCCAGTCAAACTTGTGTCTCCAGCACCGTACCCGGGTGAGCCTGGGGAAACCCGTGATCGGCTCGGGCAAGCAGCTCTGCTTTCACAGCTGGGGTGACACACGGGCTTGCCGTGCCATGACCTGCAGATTCCACCAGCAATTCATTCCAGTTGCTGGGAGAGCCTGGTATCAGCACTGCCCTCAGCTAGAGTGCAACTGCACAGGGGAACGGCTCACCACAGAGGGGGCAGAACTCCCGTTTGGGCTGCTACTGTAAAGCTATGACTGTAGAGGCAGTGTGCCCTAGGGGTTAGGGCACAGAGCTAAGACTCAGCCGACTTGAGTTCTAGTCCCTATTACGTGACCTTGGGCAAGTCATGGCCCCTCTCTGTGCCTCACTTTCCCCTCCCACTAGGTCTGTGTAGACCATACGCTCTTCAGGGCTAGGACAATCTCTTAGGCCTCTTCCATATTGAAATTTGCACAGATTTAACACAGTTTTTCAAGTCTATTTAACCCTCTGCATCTCAGGCCTTGTCAACATGACAGAGATAAGCCACAGTGTCAATTTACAGCAAGAGTTAAACTGGTGCAAGCCCCCGGGGGATGCACTGATTCTAAAACAAGCTGCTCTCAAACTGGGAGCTGGGAACAGGTTTAAATCATGCTGAAATAAGCGACCCTTATCCCGAAAGAAGAGTGTTCACACAGGGTTTTTTTAAAACTGGTTTGATTGATTGAACTAAACTAATTGAATTAAACCGCTGCATGTTTGTGTGTACCAGGGTCTACAAGCATCCCCATGAAGTTTCCACCAGGACTAAGGGCTTGTCTACATTTAAAACGCTGCACCACTTTAGTGAAGACACTGCCTAAGCTGATGAGGGGGGAGTTCTCCCATCGGCGTAGGTAGATCACGTCCACAAGGGGCAGTAGCTAGGCCGACGGGAGAATTCTCCTGCGGACCGAGTGCTGTCTACACTGGGGGTTGGGTCGGTTTAACTGCACTGCTCAGAAGTGTGGATTTTTCACACCCCTGAGCGATAATTATACTGGCCAAATTTTCTAGTGTAGACCAGGCCTAAATTGACTAAATTGCTAAAAAGAGCAGCGTAGACCTCCCTGCTCAGACTGGAGCTCAGGCTCGGAGACCCAGCCCTCTCGGCAGAGTGGGAACACCAACACGGCTATTTCTAGCCCCGGAGCGCTAGCCCTGCAAGCCTGAGTCAATTGACCCAGGCTCTGAGACTCGCTGCTGCAGGGTTTTTTTGGCCCTGCAGATGTACCCTCTGTGGCTGTGGCAGCCCCTAGCACAATGGGACCTTGATCTCAGCTGGTGCCTCGGGATGCCACCGAAATACACCTGCTAACGAGGTGCAACTCAATGTGAGTGGTGCTCCAGAGAGACTGGCTGGAGGGATTAGCGAGTGGGGCAGTGAGAGTCATCCCTGAGTCAGAGGATGGCAGCTCTCCATGCTGGGACAGAGGCCTCGGTGACACTGGGGCTGTCAGATTCTTTCCCCCGGGGGAACAGCCCCACCCTGGGCTGGAGACACTGCTGCAGAACGAAGCCCAGCCACATCACTAGCCCCTTGCCCCGCCAGGGTCCCCACCCCCCAGAAAGGGCTCAGCTTTGGGGATCAGACCCAGCAAGGAGCCATGCTGGCGGAGGAGGGGGAAGGGAGGGGTCAGGTGAGAGAGAGGGGGAGGGGAGAGCGCGGGCGTCATGGCCTCACCTGTGAGACACCTGGGAGCCTCTCAGGCTGGACATGGTCTCCTCCAGATTTTGCCGAAGGTCCAGCACGTTCTGCACCGTCCTCTTCCTCTGGGACTCGGGGTCTGTAGTAACACGGAGAGTGAAGGCTTTTATAGCCATGGCTGTAGGGAGAGGAGGGCGACATGGGCCCCCTCCATGCCCCCCCCCCCTCACCCACACCTCCCCCATCTGTTCCAGGTGCCCCCACGACGCTCCCCACGCCATGTGCCCCCTCCCCACCCAGCTGCCATCCTTACACTGTCTGCCCACGTGTCCCTTCCCTGCCCTCCCCCCACTGGTGCGAGCGCCACTCTGCTGCTTTGGTATCACAGAGCCACATTCTGCGACAGCTGGAGCCCTCAGCAGAGCTGTGAGTGTGACCCATCTCCCTGCCAGGCCTGGGGCGCTGGACCCGCACCCTGCCCAGGTGTTGCCAAGGTCCCCAAGAGCTGCTTTAGCAGGGAAAGTTTCCCTGCCTCTGCTCAAGGCCAGCGCCCAGGAGAGGGAGCATCTGCCTCCCGGCTCCTCCCGTCTCCGCTCTGAGATGGGCCGCAGGGAGAGCACCGGGCCAGAACTTCCTACACTCCAAGGCCAGAAGGGACCACTGGGACACTGCACAGCCCAGGCCAGAGAACTGCCCCACCGTAATCCCTAGAGCAGATCTGAGAAAAGACCTCCCGTCTGGATTTAAAAATGGCCAGTGATGGAGAATCCTCCACGAGCCCTGGTCAATTGTTCCAGTGGTTAATTACCCTCCCTGTTAAAATGTTCTGCCTTAGTTCCAGGCTGAAATTGTCTGGCTTCAGCTTCCAGCCATTGGGTCTCATTAGATCCGTCTCTGCTAGACAGAAAAGTCCATTATCAAATTTGTTCCCCATCTAGGATACTCGCAGACAGTAATTAAGTCACCCCTCAACCTTCTCTGTGTTACGCTAACTAGGCCCAAAGAGCTCACTCGAAGGCAGGTTCTCTAATCCTTTAATCATTCCCTAGGCTCTTCTCTGCCCCCTCTCCAATTTATCAACCTCCTCCTCGAATCGCGAGCACCAGAACTGGACCCAGGATTCCAGCAGCGGTCGCACCAGAGTCAAATACAGAGCTAAAAACACCGCTCTGCTCCTGTCCAAGGATTGCATTAGCAAGCAGCACAAATCTTCATTGCATTCTAAACTCAGTCCCAGCAGAGCCCCCCACCCAGCCAGGCACTGGCAGCTTCTGACCCCAGCTCCACGGGTGTGGCAGCTCCCCTCCCCAGCCAGCCAGCGCGCACAGGAGGGGAGCTCTGCAGGGTAGGGGCTTTCCACAAGCCCAGCTCACCCTCCTACTCTGCTTGGCTGAAGCTGTTGCATCATTAGTGCTTAGTGTCAGTGCTACAGCCCTCCCAGGGAGCAGGGGGAGCGGAGGGAACATGCGCATGGGCTTCAGGAACAAACAGAAGCCAGCAAGGAAATGCTGGGGCTGGCTGCCAGCCAACTGAAGGCAGAATGAGTGGCAGCAGCTGGCAAGCTCATTCCAAGGGATCTGAGCTGCTGCCCCAGGAACTGGAGCCTGCCATCACATGCAGGAATCCTGAGCAAACTGCTCCGCCTGCAGCCTGCATACCCAGGGGAGGGGTGCTACCTGGCTGGGTCTCCCTGGGATTGCAAAACTGGCAATGTCTCTTTGGATGATACGTTGCCTCCAGGGAAACGCCTCAGCAGGCCTGCAAACCTACCCTGGCAGCCTGCTGCAGCAGGGTGTGACATCCCTAGACCATTGCCCCGAGTCTGGAGGAAAGGGAGCTCCTAGTGCTAAAGCCACAAACCAGGGACCATCTACACTATTCAGTCAGCAGCCCTCTGCTCTGTAGATATCTATTTGTGCAATAGATCAGCAGACAGACAGACCGACTTGTTCACGTGCATTTTGGAAGACAGATGGGCAGACAGAGCAGTATACTAACAGCTAGGAGCGTGGACGGAGAGACAGAGCAGTATACTAACAGCTAGGAGCATGGACGGAGAGACAGAGCAGTATACTAACAGCTAGGAGCGTGGACAGATCTGTACGCTACCCTCTAGGAAAGACTGTCATTATGTTCGGGTTGGATGGCTGGATTAGATGCACCAGTTTGCTATCATTGGGAAGGATAGTTAGATAGATGGATTACGTAGATTAGGAACAAATGGTTTGCACATGGCCTGGCTACAATCGGATTTGTCCTCCCTTCAAACATAGCTACAACACTATTCCACCTGGTAGTGTAGACAGGACCCTGCTCGTTACAGACCGATAGGTTTGGAAAAAAACACAAGAACCTCTCCCGCAGCCCGAACCGGCACCCCTTATAGGAATCAAATCCAAAGGTCCATTTGCCCTGGGCCCGAGGGGCCACAACACTGAGAGAGTCTGGTGGGACATGTGGGCTGGCCTGGGACGGCACCTTCTCAGGAGATGCCTGTGACAGGTTTGGTCACGGAGATCCCCTTGTGACTGTCAACTGATGTGCTGAGATCACCTCTGAGCCCGTTTTCCCTGCCAGCTTGGGACTTCCAGGACCCTGCCTCGTTGAGCCAGACGCGCTAGCCTGCTGCAACACAGACCCAGGGTCCGGGCCACACCCCCAAAGCTGCAGACTTTACGTGAAAACAGCTCTGCAGGTTTCCTCTGCAGGCCGCCGCCCTGACACGACGGCGACCGCGACCGCAGGCCCTGCGTGGCGCCGGCTCCCGCCCTGACACGACGGCGACCGCGACCGCAGACCATGCGCGGTGCCTGCTCCTGCCCTGACACGACAGCGACTGCGATCACGGGCCCTGCGTGGCACCAGTTCCCGTCCTGACACAACGGCGACTGCGATCGCGGGCCCTGGGTGGCGCCTGCTCCTGTCCTGACATGACTGCGATCGCGGGCCCTGGGCGGCGCCTGCTCCTGTCCTGACACGACGGCGACTGCGACCGTGGGCATGGAAGGCGCATGCTCCCGCTCTGACACGACGGCAACCGCGACCACGGGCCCTGCGCGGTGCCTGCTCCCGCCCTGACATGACGGCGACCGCGATCACGGGCCCTGCACGGCGCCTGCTCCCGTCCTGACACGATGGCGACTGCGATCACGGGCCCTGCGCGGCGCCGGCTCCTGCCCTGACACGATGGCGACTGCAACCACCGGCCCTGCACGGCGCTGGCTCCCGCCCTGACACAACGGTGACAGCGACCGCGGGCCCTGCGTGGCGCCTGCTCCCGCCCTGACACGACGGCGACTGCGATTACGGGCCCAGGGCGGCACCGGCTCCCGCCCTGACACGACGGCAACTGCGATCACGGGCCCTGTGTGTCTGTTGAGCTCAGTGGAGCTGGTCAGTGAATATTTCCAGGCCCTCATGAGTAAGTTCCAATTCTGTGCAAGAGGTGGGAGCCATTCGGGGACATCTCCCAGACATTGGTATTTATCAGCTGCAATCAATAGGGAAGCGCACACACACACACGCACACACACACACACACCAGCCACAGGGCACTTCCAGGACGAGCCCCTCTCTGCACAGCCCAGCCAGAGGTGGGGAAGGAGTCTCCACCCTGGGTATCAGTGTCCCCAGACTCCAGTGTTCATGAGAGTCACGCAGCATCTTATCAGCTCCCCGCCCGCTGAGCCGGATTCTTTGCTCCCCTGGATTGCCCCACGTCAGCTTGGAGGAGCCGTGCGCTGCCGGATTGAGTGCGTGAGCGGGGCATGTTTCACGCTGGCTGGGTCAAGCAGGGCTTAATCGAGTATAAAAACGGCCATTTGATTGCCATTCTCTGCCCGGACGAATGACTTTACCGCCCAATCGATGGCACCATTGATTTCCAGATGGCAGAGCCCCAACATGCCAGGGGCTTGGTGCGGGCTGTGAAGCCATAGAGGTGAGGCTGCGAGGCAGGGAGGGGATCCGTGGGTCCTTACGTTGGAGCAGGGCATTATATTCAAGATCTATGACCTCACCTTGTAGGGTCGCTGCTGTTTCTGTTCGGCAAAGCCATGGTCCTATGGGGAAGCTCTCTGGCCCTGCGCTTAACCCCACCAGAAAGCAGCATGGACAGGGGCCCCCTGTAACACCCCTGTCAATCATTATATACCCCAGCCCCTCCACCCACCAAGGTGATCCGGGTAAGTGCGCCGGAGTCTTGCCAAAGTGCTCCCAGCCCTCCCAGATCTCAAGAGACAGAACCTTAGAATCACACCGCTCTGATTCCCATCTTGTGCCTCACAATACATACACGCCAATTCTGAGCTGACTTGAGCTGCTGCTATCTGGAGATCAGCTACCGCTAATCACTCATGCACTATACAGTCAGGCAGCCTGCAATCTCAGCCCGCAGGTGGCGGGCAGCTTTCATGTGTAGCCGTTTCCCTGTCACCGCTCCTGGGGCCTAGCAGTGGGGCTGCTCCGGGATTCAGTAGGGAAAATCTGGATCTACAGACCCCTGGGATTTTCCATCCCCTGCACGGGGCTGACTTGCTACCAGGCCTTTCTTCCTCCCCGCCCCAGGAAGATTCCCACACCTCCGCCCCTGTCTCAGCACCAGACGCGCGGCTGTAGCCTCTGGCTAGGACGTGTTACGTATGTGGCTGTTACAGGCCAAGCGCAGAGATTTAGGCTCGATAGATTGCTAGTTCAAAACCCGCTGTGTCAGCCAAGATGGGGCTGTTGGAAATTTACCAGGACAAGCTCCTGAAGAGGCTGCTGTGTTGATTCAGACCCATCAGAGAGAGGGCGAGTGTGTGTGAGGGAACGGGACGCCAGGGCAGATGGGGGATGCAGTCAGTGCAGGCCCTTTTCTGGGGGGAAAGAGGCAGAAACGACCCAGTAAATGACCTCTGTCCCCTCCCGGAAGAAGGGACTAAGGAGGGGAAGGTGTCAGTGACACCAGCTTAGCCACCCATGGGCATGGCCAGGTACAGGCCAAAGCCCCCCACGGATCAGGGAATGGGGTGTGGCTGTGGAACCCCTTCACCTGGTGCTGAGCATTTGGGTATCACTCACCCCAGGCTGGCCTCAGTATCAGAGGACCATACAAGTGGCTTGAAGACCCTCTGGCTTTGCACTGAGCACAGGCTGGCC